TGTTATTTTATTTACTTTCTCGCGGTTATTATTACTTAACAATCTATGCGATATTTAAATCCGTTTCCCTAAGGTTGCCTTTGAAAAGAATGCTTTTAGCAATAAGACCGCCTTATTATAATTGTGTATAATCTGTTCTTTAATATATTGCTTATGTATTTTCTTATATTCTTATATTAACATACAGTAAATGTTACAAATAAAGTGTATTTTATTTTTAGTTTCTTTATAATGCTGTATTGCACCAACATTCAAAGTAGATATATTTAAAAATGTAACAATAGATTATAGAAAGAAGAAGGTACAGAAGAAGGTCTTATTGCTAACGAATCTCTTCCAGACAACGTTAGGAAAGAGTGTATTACTAAAAATGTGCCGTGCCGTAAAACTCATGTGCCGCTCTAGGCGGCACATGAGTCAAAAATAAAAAAAAACATTATTAAAATTAAGCGTACGAATGTACACTGGTATAGGTTTAAAAAGTTATTACTTATCTTATATTCTAACTATTTCTCATAAATCAATATGTATACCAAATATAAAAGAGTGAATATTATTTCGCGTTCCCTAGAGATAAACTGTAAAAAGTCGTCAGCATGGATACCTCAGTCTTACCTATTCCAACAAGTTGCTTGCTTTGTAAGTTGTGTTTCGATTGTAGGGTGCAGATTTGGCAGTGAAATTACAGGATAAGAGGCATGACATCTTAGTCCTCTAGAATGACAACGCTAAAGTCATTTGTAAACCTGATGTCCTTCATGTATATAGACGATGTTGTTTGTCATTGCACTTAGATGAAAAAAAATTGTAGCTCCATAGGCCTGTTTCTTTTATTAGATTTCGTGGAAACCAATTAACCCCTATTATATTATAACAACAGTTCATGGGATGTCAAGAATCAACTTTTCTATACATATATTGATCACCAGGAAAATTAATTGCAAAAAAATAGTAACTTCCCTATACGAATACGATACGATATAATTTTCCGAATACGCGACCTCGGAAGTAAAGCGGTGTGCTAAACCACTAGACCACAGAGGCCGTCATATAAACAAAAGCATTGTTACACTTTTTAAAACTATTATTAATACTATTTGCGTTCGTATAAGCACTACCTAAATACAAGGACTAAAATAACAATGAGTTACGTAACAACAAGTGTAACAAAGTTATTACAATTGTCGCTACACTTTCTCATTGTTCAATTACCCCGAGGCTTATTATGTCAAGTTTGAACAGTATCTTGCTATGGGAAATGTATAGCTATAATGGGTGTACTGTATTTGTTAACGCTATGCGTAATTTGTACACACTGTAAAAGTGTAGACTAAACAAAGCTGTATGTTATATTATAAATAGCGCGACATGAAATAATAGAAGTGTAAAGTTATTCCTTTGCTTGTAATTCTTGCATTATAATTGTATACAGTTATTGTACCCTGTTAAAAAAACGAATCTACCACGAATTTATCTACGGAACAAAAAAAATATTACTAATAATATCTTGTAAACTACGCGAGGAAGGTTTATATACAAGTACACCCGTGCGAAGCCGAGGGTGGTAGCTGGTCTGGAATTTGGAAACGATAATGTTTTTTATAGAAAAACTTAAATTTCATAGAGCTGACAATATTATCAGATGGCACAAAGAACGGTGTCATATATTGATTATCGTATGCCTCCTACTCGTTACTGTGTATTTATTACTGACTAGCTGACCTGGGCAACTTCGTCTGCATCAAACTTATTTAACATTTATGAGTATATTTCGCCCAATTGACATAATATATTTTAAATTAAGCCTATGTGTTATTGTAATGTACAAGCTTTATTAGTATAAAATTCAGAAAGAGTAACAAACATCCATCCATACTCACAAACCTTCGTGTTTATATTGTTACTAGGTGTGCCTGCGGTTTTACCCACGTTTAATTTCAATATAAAATGCCTATATATTATTCTGATGTATAAGCTACATTATTGTAAAGTTTCATTAAAATCTATTCATTAGTTTTTGCGTGAAAGAGTAACATCATCCATCCATACTCACAAACTTTCCCGTTTATAATGAGTAAGATTACTGTGATTTAAAATATATAAAATGTTTAATTTCAGTTGAATGGTCATCGCGCGCGGACTTTTCTAACGTGTGTGGTAGTTGTGACGTGGCCGCCACCGGCGCCAACAGCGGCACCAGGGTGCTGGCGGCCGGCCTCACCAGGGGCCGCCGGTACTTCTTCAGAGCCTCCGCCGGGAACATCAAGGGCTGGGGGCCGTTTACGGTTTCCGTGCCAAGGAGCGTTGTGCCCAGTAGTGAGTGTTCATATTATTTATTCATATTGGTATATACTATATCTATATTGTATAGGTACAATTATTTTTACCCTTTACAGAGTACCATTTTTTTATCATGTGGGAAAATCTTCACATACATGTTCAGCCGAAAGGAAACGAGAGAGAAAGATTCCATTATTGAAATGATTAATCACTACACTACATATTGTAGCTACGCGCAGCTGATGCAGAAGTTAAAGGGTTGTTGACCCTGCTTTGGCTGTTTGATGGGCATATCTCTAAAACTACCAATCACATTTGAAAATCCTTTTTCCATTATATCAAATAAATCCGATAGGATTTATAATAAACTAATCATAAAAAAAATATAATGTTGTATGAATAATTCCATTCATTTTCTAAATCACGTCGCCAAAATCAAAACCCAGATCATTCATTACTCGAATCATGATTTCAAAAATTGACGTATGTAACTGGCAAGTGTCCTCAATAAATGATCTTAACTTTGACTTTTTCGCCAGGCTGGCGTGATGTATCAAGCAGAGCTATACGCGGTGAAAGCGGTGGAGCGGCCGCAGCGCTGGAAGCGCTCGCAAGCGCTGCAGCGGGCGCCCGCTCACGGCCACCGGCGCCTCCGCCCCGCGCCTCCCGCAAGAAGACCGCCACTATACGACAGCTGTTTACAGCGGCTAGCAAGTTCCAGAAGAATCTACGGAGGTAATTATTATTTATATTATTTTTCACTATAGGTACTGTTTCTGCACCCCTCGGAACTCGTTATTTCTTCTTTGTTGACGGCCTCGGTGTTGAATCATCCCGTTTTACTTCAGGTTGTTGCGAGTTCGATAATTTGCACGGTACAACCATTTGTATTCGTGAGTATAAACAATCATACTCATAAATACAATTGTTTGTACTGTGCCAGAAGCCGAATCCGCGACCATGGCGAGTAAAGCGGTGTGTTAAATCGCTAGACCACCGAGGCCGTCAATAATAAGAAAAATAAAATAGAATAATACTTAAAAAAAATACAAAGCAAAACAATATAGTATCTAGGTACAAAAGGCGGTCATATCGCTTAAGCGATTTCTTCCAGACAACATTTGGGTAGAGGAGAAAAGACAAAAGGTGGTGGATGGCGCAAGTTGGCATGAATAAACATAAATTAAACAGTTATAAATTAATAATTATATTATAAAAAAAAACTAATACTTTCAGAGGTGTATACTTGGCGTGCATTCTGTACCATGAAGACAAGGTGCTGGTGACTAGCGAGGAGTTCCTGCCTGTTATCGAAGTGGATGAGACCTACCCGACTTGCATCTATGCTGACTTCCATTGGCTAATGAAGGTACTAAGATCTACAGACAGTTCTGATGTAGCAATTTGTTGAAATAGAAATAATCATAGACTACCCACTCCCTCTCTCTCTCTCACAAACACACATACACATACACATACACTCACAAACACAATGCTTTTTTTTGCTTACATATCAAATGCAGGAATAAGCTCTTTTTGTTTTGTTTTAAGTTCAATTCTCTTTGTTTTTGGTAAATTTAAATGTATTGAAAATTTTATTAGAATAACGTGATATGGGCAAATTCATGTATATTTTGGAATTATATAAACTCGATGGAGGGCGTCGATATTCGGAACACAGTTTTATACTTCTGTGAATGTCATCCTTCCTTCAATAAATTGGTACACATGTTTCTATTTTAAAGAAATAAATAAAATCTTTATTCAAATAAAGGTATTCAAATATAAAATATATACACATATTATAAACGTATACATTACGTATAATACACGCTATGTAATGACTAAACTTGCGCTTAATTCCAGGTGTCATGTTGTTGGGATGATGTGAAAGGTCTTCGAGCGGATATGGAGAAACACACGTCTTCCTCTATACACTTCAGATTGAAATTACTCACAGCAGCTGCGCAGATGCAGTCCGCTCTCTGCATACAAGACTTAGGTTCGTATATCTGTACATCATATTTTTATGTAACTGGAATATTAAAGGACCTGACGACCGAACTGATGGATAATGAAAATTGTCACCTATCATATTATTATTTTCTATATGTTTTAGTCCTTTAATATACCTATAAAGGACTTATTTAGGATCAAAAACGGGTTTACAATTAGAAAACTTGTAACTTTTTTACATTTACTATGTACTATGTTATAGTAAACCCAACATGCATGATCACAGATTATATTTAAGTATTGAGATATATGAGTCTTATATAATATATAAGACTAAGTACTTCAATTAAACGCATACAAACTAATATATTTTGTATTACTCATGGACTTATAACAAGCGTGTCATTTCGGGACCAAAATGTCTATCATTTGTAAATATCTAAAATATAAATATATATATAAAGCCACGACTGGTGTAATCTCTTCAGATCTCTCTTTCCTACTGCTGCCCGTACCAGACAATACATAAATAACATCTTCTTACGTTTATCAGGACAATTATATCACAAGCCACTGCGCGATTCACACGGAACGGTTGTGATATCTGTGGTGACGAGTGTCAAATCGGCCAAGTGTGTGTCGGCGCTGAACTCGCGGTGGGCGGCTGTGAACAGGCTGCGGCGACGCGTACTCAGCGACGACAACACCATGGGGGAGCTGCTGATGGCGTCCGTGCACGATCAGATCGCCTACCATCAGGTATATTGAGTAATATATAACGAGGGTAGTTCCTCTATCTGGGATACCTCGTCATCAGAACCCATGTTGATGGTGTAGGCACGAAATAATAGTCTTGATTTAAAGTATAATAGTCTATTAACTCACTCCCGATAACAAAATAATAAATTTAACAACGATCAGCCAGATGCAAACGGATTAGTCAGGGAAACGCGGCAAGTTCGGTACAGAGTGCGAAAATTCGCGCTGTTCAAAAGAGTTTCGTAATTGCCGTTAAAACTGCTTTACCCTGTACCGATCACCCAAGTTTTTTTCCAACAACGATAATAGATGGCGCTATTCTAGTAGAAACTAATCAATTGAGCCTCTTTGTTGATTCTGACATATATTAAATAAATATATTGAAGACATATTAGTAAATATATCTTACTAGTGTTATAAACGCGAAAATTTATGAGTATATATATACGAAAACAACTAAACTGATTTTGACCAAACTTTACAATAATATAGTTTATACATCACATAACACATAGGCTATAATTTAAATACATATCAAGTAAGTGTGATGATGATGATAATGACACAAAGAGTCAGTTAGTTATTAAATATATATATATTATTTGACTGTATTTCTTTGTTTTTATATGTTACTATAAATTATTAAATTGCGTCGCCTCAATATCTCTAATCAATGCGACGATCAGTAAAGAATGCCATCAGGCGTTTTCTAAATATATTGAGAACATATTGATACTTATCTATATATGATTAAAATTTTAATTACCACTTCCTCCTTCCCACAGTGATAATAGTCCATAGAATCTGTATATAAAATCACTCTGAATACTACATTAAAATTTGTTGCGTAATTCAAAAGGTATAAGCGGCGATATTTTATATATATGGTATATATATACATGTATAAAGAAAAATGTATATATACAAGAAGTCTTTCCTTTATACATTTTATATGTATATTTTATTACTTTACATTCTGGTATACCTTTCCATTCATAAATCATTTCTCTCAGATAGGAAGTAGTTATGTTTATGTATAATATTGAAATATTATTATTATTGTATCAGGTGTCTCGAGTTCAGCTGCCCCGAGGGTTGTACCTGGGTTATCTAAAGCTGCAGTCGTCTGTGGAAGTGGTACGAATAGTGGCGCCCGCTCGCACCCCCAACGTGCCGCCGCACACAAGGGTGCGAGACAACCCGCACATCTCTGCGTAAGTTATCTCTAACTGCCAACCATCTTAACTAATTTGATTGCCTCGGTGCTCTGCGGTCACACCGCCTTACTTCCGAAGGTCGCGGGCTGAATTCCTCACACAGCACAAACATTTGTATTCATGAGTTTGTTTGTATCGGTCTGGATGTTTTCTATGTATAATATGTATGTATTTATGATAAAAAATATCTATATATTTGTATCAGTTATCTAGTGCCCACAACACAAGCTTTAGCTAGCTTAACTTGGGTTTAGATGGCCCTATGTGAATTGTCCTGAGATAATAATAATTATTATCATTTTTGTATTATAAACGCGGACGTATGTGACTGTTGAGTTATGGTTGGATGTTTGTTACTCTTTCACGCAAAAACTACTGAATGGATTTTAATGAACCTTTACAATAATGTAGTTTGTACATCAGAATATACATTGGCTATAAATTTCGTGCGGATGAAACCGCGGGCACAGCTAGTATGTAATAATAATAATGACCGTAGATAAATCACACAGCGCCATCTAGTTCTAAGTAGGGCTTATGTTACGGGTACTAGACAACAGACAGAAATATTATACCTACTTAAATATTTTACAGCTCTTTTACAGCGAAGAATGGGATTACCTAAGAAACCAATCTGGCAAAGTGTACAGTGAAGAAGTTCAGCCAAGAAACAGTCTTGTACCGATCAGCGACAGTCCGGAGAAACCGTCAGAATCTCAAGAAATGTTCCTAGACCAGATCGCGTCTGCAGCACGACGACTCTTCAAGGAAATGGAGATCCCCATCGAATGTGTTATCGCCCACCGAATATATGATCTCGAAGTCATAGAACTTAATAACGATGTCAGTTTCGTAATGATATGTCCACCAGCAGAACAAGCCTGCTCAGTGCCTGGTCAAAAAGAAATACTCCTACAAAAAGGCGATTTGCTCAGCCTACCCATCCAGGCATTCGAAATGATACACCTGCAGACGTACCATACGAATATCCTAAACAAATACTCCAAACTTAGTTGTATATTAGAATTAGACGTAGCCTTAGCCGCCCATTCCCATAGAGAGGCATTCTCTTGCACAGAAATGCAAACAGCCAAAGAACGATTGAGTAAATTAGAAGACCTTCAAAATAATCTTAACACAGTGTGGAAAGCAGAACGGTGGCTTATGGATTTAATAGGCTTCGCGAGGGATAAAGATAAAGCGGTGTCAAGTTCTGGTATACTCCTGAAATATATACTCGATAAGACGGCGTCACAATTAAACAAAGAATATCCTGATAGTAGCGATACCAATTACACAGATTCCAACTTGAAAGTAGACTTCCTTCAAATACCTGCGAGAGATGGCAAAATAACCAAATTGTCACCTGGACGAGGGTCGTGGCCTGGACCAGCTGGCAACGGGAACCATGCGAATTTACACCCAGAATTTAGTAAATCTGAACAGCAACTAAGTTTGGCACCCCGACAGACATCTGTATCAACACTTAACCTAACTAGTTCGCAATATTTGAATGCTGAAAATCAATATTCGAGTAGAAAAAGCAGTGCTGATTCTCAATTCACCCAATCGAGTCCTATGAGCAATAATTACGTGAGCAGCAATTCGCAGTTTGACATAAAATCTAATGCATCTCATACTAGTAATCGTTTACCACCTTCTCGGAGTGAAGACACCTTAGTGCTACAAAACGAAAATGTGGAGCAAAAACCTCGTCCACACAGTATTAATACTAGCGTATCAAACACCTCAAGTCCCCTACTGACAGTGAAAGGTTACTATCCAGGGAGCATGATAAGTATGAGAGCCTCCAAATGCAACGTCTCCGAATCCGCCCAGAGTCTGTCGAGTGACTCAGAAAGCCAAAGCTGTCCAATAACATCAGTTCCATTAAAAATCCGTCCGCAGGGAAAGCATTATAGGACTTCGTGTATGTAACGTAATCGCGTCCAAGAGCATGACCAATGTGAAATCATCCGACGTCGATTACACGGATACTGGTCAAGAAATGTACCCAAAAACAAATTTATGTGTGAAGCGACAACCATTGTTGGAGACCCAAGAAGACGTCGAATATAACAATAAGGTTCCTAAGACTGATGAGAGGAGTGACAGCGAAGAACATGTTAATCCAGCTTCAGATCAACGACCTCCTGACCAACCAGGTATATTGCAGGTGAGATATTTCATCTACTAATAGAAATAGAAATAAACTTAATATAAGCACTTTATAGTCAAGTTTTTTTATTCTAACCCTTATTTGGAATCTAGATTCATCACAAGAAGAATAAGCAAGAACCTTGTCTGTTGCTCTTTTAAATAAATATTGATTTAATTAACAACAAGGATTAGGCATGCGACAATCAACACAGAAACCGCTACGCACTTAATCTCTGTTCAATCAGATAACATTGTCAGCGCTATGAATTTTAAGTTAGTTATTTTCTACAAAAACATTATTATCATTTATAAATTCTTCAATTTTGTAATAAGCATTTTTTGCAAAGAAAATATTTTATAACATATTTGATTTTTTTATTGGCAAATTGAGTACAGACTCTGGGAGTTTGTTGTAAAACCTTACGCAATTTCCATAAAACGAATTACTAACTTTCGTCAAACGGCACTTAGGTAAAACTAGTTTGTTGACATTACGTAAGCTTTTATTAGTGAAAGTACCTACAATTTTTTTCTGGCATACATAATATTTTCGTAGATGTATTGTGAAGCAACGTTGAATATTTGATTCTTTAAAACATTCACGCAAAGATAATAATAAAAAAACTAAACATTTATAAAAGCGTAGTATGAAGAACGTAAAGTATGAAGGCATGTATATCCTCATACTCCTTATTTTAATTTTGCTCTAGATTCATTCCTAAAAAGGATCCTTAATGTACTAGATACTAGTAATATGATACCACTTTATTAGACTTGTATTAAAAAATATGTTGTAATGTCCCAGTACTATTTTATGTTACAAATTAATAATACTACAGAAGAACATGAAATGATAAACAAAACGTTATTTATTTCCAGGTTTACGCTGCATATGAAACTGGTTTAGCGGCTGGTACATCACTGAAACTACATGTGACGCCTCGTACGTCAGCCCGTGAAGTTATCGACTTAGTTGTGAAACAACTCAACATGGCTGCCGTGTTAAAAGGAAAAGCGGGCCCAGTATATGGCCCTGAGAAACTTCAAGATTTCTGTCTGGTCGCCGTCATCGGCGCGAGGGAACGGTGTCTTAGAGATGATTTTAGACCGCTTCAATTACAAAACCCATGGCGAAAAGGGCGTTTATATGTGAGGCTCAAACACGATGTCCTAGCGGCTTTACAACATTCAGCTAAACAACCAGCTTACATATAGACTTATGAGTGTGTTGTGAATTAGTTATGTACAGGATATATCGTTGTTTTCATTAGATAGAAACTATAAATTGATACTATACGAGTATATTATTTTGGTGCCAATTCTAATTATGTTGATGCTTTAAATAGTTAAGTCTTAAGTTGTGAGTAATTAATAGAGAATAATGAAAGTAAAACAGAATTTATGGTGCTTCTCATTGTAAAATATGTCGCTTATGTATGCAAAGAGAGAAATTTAAAGAGAAGATATTGAACGATTTTCGTAAACGTTATCTAGATATTTTATTAGCCTTACTGTAATAGTTTTTATCCAGTCTAGATGGACTCAAATTCTTGTCGTTCTATATTAGGTAGGCAATTACCTAATCTATCTAATAGTCTATAAGTAGCGTTGTGGAAAGTAGTCTTGTTCAAAATAGTTCGCGACATTGAGCGCTCTATTTATTTCTCAGATCTTCCGCCAGCTAGTTCGTTCCTTCCCTACTTCAGTCTAAAAAAGGCGCTCGGTTAGGCCAACGGCCAACTTCTACGCGTAGAAGTGTTTTTTTTTTTTAACTGTAAATATAGTATTTTTTTAAACCTAAAGTTTAGTACAATCAATTTTTATGCTGCGTCACAGACTAATTAATATTTTTTTAACAAGAGCTTTTATTTTATCAATGGAACTGACGAACTTGAGGTGAAAGATCTGTGAACTAGTTCGCATAGTACGGCGTTGGGAGCTCTTTACCACCTATTCATTCAGGAACTATACAAGGCAAGCGGAAAGTTATTACGATATTGCTCGAATTTAAAATCACAATTCGTAAATAGATATTTTTTTCGTTATTATTCCTTTTCTATCTATTTCATTATTGACTCGAAACAAAGTGCCTAATTAATTTAAATCCTTCCTGATAATATGTATCTATTCATATCACTTAGGAAAACAGGGTTTTGCCTACAATGAAACAAAAATAAAATATGTATTTTATATCTTATTTCTAATGGATTTACCTGAAACATTTTAAACAATGGACATTCAGAATTTAACTACATAATCAGAGGGGCAGTTTTACAGAATGTTTGATTACAATATAGTATAGTGTATAGTAAATACGAAAAATTCATAATAATATAATAAAACTATTTTTGTGTAAATAATAAACATTTAAGATGTTTGATCTTTAAGTAGATTCATATATTTTGCTGTTCGATATACTCGTATAAGTGTCGCCTTTTTTATTATTAAAAAAAATATGTAGAATTGAATTAATTTGCTCTTTATATTTTTCTAATATCCCATTTTATGATCTCTAATAAAAAGGTTATATATTTGCGTTTCTCAATGCCGGTATGTACATTAGTACCTCCGTTACATCAATTGAAAGAGCAAAAACCATATTATTATTAAGTACTTATTAAATTATTGTAATACTCAAAAATAGAATGTTAACATTTTAATTTCGCAGTGTACATTATGTAGTTAGTGCCAATGTACAGAGGAGTGTAAATTAGAATGGAGTATAAAAACCTATATTGAAAATTGGAAACAAATGAAACGATTCGAGCCATACTTAATTTAAAAAGTTTGCAATTGTAATGAAGCCTAATAAATGTCTTATGATATTAATAAACTATAGATTTATTTTAGAATATTACGCAATTATTCACCCTATCCGGTGTTGTATTTTAGAGTTTAGATTGAGTTGGAGTGTGAAGTGATGCACAAAATAAATGTATTTTAAATCTACGGATTTCTTTTTGTTATACCTACCCTAACCTCATCCGGCATTATCTATTTCTTTAAAAATTAATATTTTATTGTTTGGTGATTCAAATTGCCCTACCTGCCTTCACTAAAGCTGGTTAATTTCTATTTCAACATCAGACAAAATCGTTATCGTAATATAAAAAACGACTCTTACTAATATTAATATTATCTTATCTAATATTAATTATAAACGCGGAAGTTTGTTTGCTCTGAACCGTGATTTTGTTCTCAAAATAGATGGAAATACATACGGAATCTGAAATCGTAGAATAGGGAACACTGTTGTCATCAGTGCCTTTAAAGCGCAAATAGAGCTTATTAAGTGGATAACTTTTGGGGCCCAATAAACTGAGGGCTATTTTTATGGACATAAATAACACTAATTAGTAAAGAAAACGATTATAAAAAACAGAAAATATTTTTCTATCTAATGAGATGGTGGATTATTATTGGTCACATATCCCAACTTCCAATGTATTAGTAATTATTAACTTGAATCAATTACAATAACTTATATAAGGAAGTCATATTTTAACTTTAAAACAGGGATGTTAGGGAGCTCCGTAACCGTAACCGAAACTATCGGATATCCGATATAAAAAAATATCCGTAACCGTAACCGAATGGAAAATAAGAGTTTCGGATAATATCGGATAGGAGCTGAGCCTAATTGAGACACGTTATGTAACCATTTTATTAGCTATTTGAATTTTCCTTTTGAAATTCCTTAAAAAAATAATATCCGTAACCGAAATTATCCGAAACTAACGGATAATCCGAAATAATTTCATATCCGCATCCGTATCCGTATCCGGTATAATAATCATTCCTATATCCGAAACTTATCCGAATCCGAAATTTCATATCCATAACATCCCTGCTTTAAAAATATCCATAATATAAGGTTCATTGAATTCAATCTTTGTATAGTGGTATTTAGCGAGTTTCATTATGATTTCTTGGCTATATTTTACTAGGAGTGGCAACTTTGTCACAATCAGTCAGTCATCTATAAATATGTTACCAGTACTTTGAAGAAATTGTGATTATTTTTAAGTCTTTTTTCTAGATAAGTTCGTTAGAATAAAACAATGAAATGTCAGATGAAATAGTTCTAATTAACTTATGTTGGACATTAACCTTAATTTTTGTATTTCGTACTGTAAAACTCCGAGTTATAACTTGTTATGTGTATATTTGTTAAGGTGGGCTAAAAAGGACTTGCATCCACAGTCGTAAAACATATCAGTAAAAAAAGCAGTCAGTCATCAATCACTCAATCAGTCACTCAAATCATTGTGCATAATTTACGGTTACACCGTTACACACGGTTGTAATCGTTGAATGTATTATAAATAATTATCGCAACCTTTATAATTGAACAGTAATAAATAAACTTAATTAGAATTAAATAATCTGCCACTCTTATCAGTCAATACCGTGTTATAACACTCACCAAACATGAGTTTAGTGGCTAATACGGGGTGAATATATCAAATGTTGTAACATAATTTATTGTTCCACTTTCACGTATTTCTTACTTTTTACTTCTTTTATTAGAAAACTAGCGGGACGTACGCTGTTTATAACGGGCGCTTCTCGTGGTATCGGTAAGGCGATAGCTCTGAAAGCTGCACAAGATGGAGCCAACGTTGTTATTGCCGCTAAAACTGCTGAACCACATCCAAAACTTCCAGGAACTATTTACACAGCGGCTGAAGAGAGTAAGTGCATTTAAATTCGTAATAAAATCGCCATAAACTTTCTCCTGTGTGATCTTGTAGTTCCCTTGAAATTGGTACTTACTTTGGACTTTGAACTTATGTCAAAGATTATCCACATAAATAACATATTATAGAATTATAACAATGATACAATTATTAAATTTACAATAAAGAATTATTTATTATTAATTCAAAGTAATTATATTATTTAGTAGTAAATTTACTTTTCATTTTCATAGCTCAGTTGGAGAGTTTAATTATCTTTTACATATTATAAATTGAAGTAGCTTCCGCTGTCTGTTTGCTTAAATCTTTTATACAATGCATTTTAATGCAGTTTTTCGCAATAGACAGAGTGATTCAAGGGGAAGGTTCATATGTATAATATATATACACCCGGGCGAAGCCAGGAAGAGTAGCTAGTTTCTATATTAATTAGTAACTTAATTAGTTATATGTTCCTCATAAATATCCACTCCCTCACTTTATTATATTAATGAATATAGATTTGTTATCTGTCATGCATTGACTTGGTTTGGTTTTTAGTTGAAGCACTTGGAGGTAAAGCTCTACCATGTATTGTGGACGTAAGGGATGAAAAACAGATACAAAATGCTATTGATGCTGCTGTTAAACAGGTGACTACATTTTTTTATTTTTATATATATGTTTACGTAGACTTTATCCAAAGTCATCAATATAGATATATCTTTTTTACCTGTTTCTGCCACTAAACTGTTTGTTAGCTCCAATTTAAAAGGTGAGATATGGCAGTTTAATTACAGGTTGTGTATGCATGGCATCTTACTCTTCTGAAATGATGGATAAGGGGCACTACAAGCATTTTATCCAAAATATAATGTCTGGTCTTCATGTCTATAGGCAAAGGTTGCTACTTTTTATAATATGAGTGATGGTAAAGGCTACTTTATGTAATGCTGAATCTTATATATGAAAGACCCCCTCCGATTCATCCCCCGTCCGCACCTCCGATCAGTACAAGAGGAGATTGAAATTATGACGGCCTGAGCCGAGGTTCGAACCCCTAGCAGTGCCCTCAGAATAAAGTCGTATCCATCAGGCTGGAGTTAGCCTTTAGCCACTCCAGTCCTTCCTCGGTTTGGAGTGCCATCTGCACTCGCACCCTATCGTCCGGTGAAGCTATAAAGGCCAGCTGCGACTAACAGCATTAGAGTAGTCGAAAAAAAGAGGATGAGACATTCATTTATATATGGGTATAAACTTACATATAATTATACATAAGTAGATTTACATCTTTCATTCATAAGTATGAATGTTAAGTCTTATAGATGGTCAGCAAGCAGTGCTTGCTTATTGCATATAACTAGGACAGACAGAACAATTGATGACAGAATTCCACAAATCTATGACGATTAGGAATTTTGCACATCTTTATTATCAGACAAGATCTAGCTTTTCTTTAATATCTTTCGATAGTCTTTAACTTACGGTCCGTCGTTCATTAATAAAAATCTACGACGATTCACACAATGCCTTCTAGTCCCAGGTTAAACAGAGCTTGTGTTATGGCTACTAGATAACTGATAAGGCCTCCAAGAGCCCTGTACTACAAATACTCAAGTACATACGCAATATACATAGAAGACACCAAGACTAATACAAACAATCATACTCATGAATACAAATGTTTGTCCCATTCGTGGAATCGAACCCGCGACCCTAGGAAGTAAAACATATACTATACCGCTAGACTTGGGCCTTTATTGTATGTCTTGTTATTAATTAAATTCTTATCGTATTTTCAGTTTAATGGTATTGATATATTAGTGAATAATGCATCAGCTATAACACTAACTGATACTGAGCACACCGACATGAAACGATACGACCTGATGCATAATATTAACACTCGGGGCACCTTCTTAGCGTAAGTATTTCTTTTTGTTTATATGTATATAGCTAAATAGAAAATACAAGAAACTATATATAAGATTGCCAAGAAGTGAAGGAAAAACGAAATTGTACAACAGAACTATATATATAATTATTTAGAATAAATGTTTCTGATTAGCCAGTTAGAACATATTTTAATGAAATTATTTAAATAAAACAAACTAACTAACAAAAGTTTTTTCCGTATTTGCATGTGTTTTGTTAAAATAATAATAATGGTGAATACATTTGCATATACATACAATATTTCCCTTGAGTAAAGCCATCTGATACAATAATGTGTATTTTACCAGCTGTCCCACAAGGTTGTTTAGCCATATAAATTAATATCGCTATTAAAAAATAAAGACTGATGGTAGACGGATGAAGTTAGGTTAAATTATGTGTATATCCCTTCTACACACGAAATTTAACCTAAAGTTTGTTGTTCTGTTGTGGGGTACTTTACAAACTTCAACCCCAGTGGTTGAAAAGGTGAAGTTTAAGAAAAAGTTGAAATGAAATTCAGAACGGCTACTCTACGGTCTGAACTCCGGCGGGGTTTTGTTACAAACACTGTGACACGAGAATTTTATGTATTAGATATTGACTTTGTGAAAATAAAGCCGTAAAGACGGCTTAAGAAGTAATTTTCTCTTAATCTTAACTTTGCATAATAAAATACACGATATATTCGTTACTAATCTTTATAACTAGCAATAAACTTTTGTTTGTTTATGCTCTATGCGTTCATATATAAAAATCCGATTATGATAAATTTTCTGCGAATTGTACTACGTACAAAAAATTGTAGGGAAACTCTTTATTACATTGTTCTTTAATGCACCACTAACTAAGTAAGTGTTATAAAAATGCATATAAACAAGAAGGTAATTGAGAAAACTTTTTTGAAATTGGTTAAATATATTATATATATATTTTTGCTTAATTAAAATATAAAATATATAATAATATGCGATGTCAAAGTCACACAAAACATGCGAGGACCTTGTTTTTAACGAAAAACATGCTTTCCAACGGTTGATTAAATATGATTAAGAATTTAAAAATAATTATATACAATAGAATATTTTAAATTTATAATACACAATAGTTCCATTGTCTTGTTCAACATTCAAATTCCATAAACAATGGGGGTTCATTGGGGTTTTTATTTTTAGACAATTTAGTAGAAAAATAATGTTAAAGTCCGCCCGTCAGAGTTTGCGTTTCTGACAGATCGGACTCGAATGGGCGATGTAACTTTGAACTGACGTACAATTGCGCTATTTCAAGGTTATTTGGTCACATCCCTATAAAAAAAAAACAGTTAGCATAACCTTGAAACAGTGCAGTTTGATGTGGTTTGACTTTTAAAAACTATTGTTTTTGTTACATATTTATATATTTATTAAATAGTTAATAATTCTAGCCTAAAATAAATACGTGTATTGTAAGTTGGAATAATTATTAAATTTTTGATGTCATCACTCAATAATAAGGCAAATAAAAGAAATTTAAAATTTTGCCTTAAATTGTACGTTAGTTCAAAGTTACATCGCCCATTCGAGTCCGATCTGTCAGAAACGCAAACTCTGAACTGAAGGACTGTATGTATTTATTACATATATACAGATAATAAATTATATCGACATAATTAATTAACAGAGATAAATATCTATTGGGTTTAATGATTGATAATCTCTAATTAATGACATATTAACGTAATTAAATTTATCACAGAGATTAGCCACAACTTGTATTCTTAATGCATAAATTATTATTAGTATTAATGCTAAATATAATATATAAAAAACTATCTTAACAATAATAATAAGGCCTAAGTAGTAATTATCTTAAAGTGAATATCTTTACATAATATAAACTGATGTCGCTTCCGCTGTGTTCGCTTAGATCTTTTAAACTACGTAACAGATTTTAATGCAGTGTTTAGCAATACATAGTGATTAAAGAGAAAAGTTTATATGTGTAATTCATGTAGACCCGTGCAATGAAATATTATTATTATACTGTGTAAGGGAAGCAAATTAATAAGGCATTGTTCATATATTACTACAATATAGTCAATGATATATAAGGAATTTTTAAGCTGTAGGTACCTAATTTCTAAAATTTATTTGATTGATGACAGTTTGAATGCATAGGGAACAAATGTTAACAACTGTATAGACTATGTGTAGTTTTGTTCTGTATATGTACAGAATGGTAAATAAATTAAAAATGTGTATTGCTTTTATTTCAGATCAAAACTGTGTCTACCACATCTGAAGAACAGCAACCATGCTCACATCCTAAATCTATCTCCTCCCCTTAATTTAAACCCTTATTGGTGAGTGTTAAATTAATAATATAGAATTTATTCCAAGTAACTTGTTTCCAATATCATAAAAAAATATTGCAATGTTAGGGAAAATACTTTATGTGAAAGCGTCTGTCTCGTACCTGTATGGTTCTGCGGATCTTGGGCTTCAGGGTCTCGAAGATATCTTCGAGACCCTGAAGCCCTGGCGGCCATGACGCGCGCGCGTCATGGCCGCCGTACGGTCAGTTCAGTACTAGTTAAGGGAGGGGAAGGAAAGGCGCGGGAACAGAAGCTAACGGACTCTAATATAATGATCTGTGCTTACGATGGTACAGGGTAGATTTTGAACAGCAATGTTTCTTTTTATGTTATTGGTAATAACAAATAACTTATATACATGAATAGCAATAAAGATCATATTGTATGTAATGATAGTCATATAGTAAGTCATATGCATTGACATTCCGCAGGACTAAGGTATTCTTATTCTGTCATTTTTCGCCCTTGTCTTGAGCCTGTGAATACTTATAATATTATGTACATTGTCAACACTTGGCACCCTTCTCCAATTCTTTAACTTAGATTTAACGTTCACGTCCACTTTACGACTCCGCGTCGAATCGTGTTACTAATAAGCTATGTACTACACTATTAAATAAACTTACTAATATAGTACAATTATAGCAGAAGGAGACTCACTGTCCCCCTCTGAATTGTATACCGTTTGGTCTCGATTAATACCTTCATTGTATTATAAGCAATGATTCTAATAGTTTATTAGTTGAGACATATATAGATTATTATTATTATTATATTTAGTTACTGCAGGAAATAAATTAAGTAGTGATACCACATTACATCATACATAACGCTACAATGGTCAGTTGATACCATCACGCTACAGTCTTACCATTCAACCGAAATACAACTTACAAAGCAAACTGCTTGGCGGCCAAATAGCTCTGGTACTCAAAAATAAAAATCCTTTGATTTCGGTTTGTCGACTCATCTGATATAATTTCCTTTTTTTTTTTTTTAGGTTTTCTCTTCACGTAGCATACACAATGGCCAAATATGGTATGTCAATGTGCGTGTTGGGAATGGCGGAAGAATTTAAGCAGTACAACGTCGGAGTAAATGCTCTATGGCCGCGCACAGGTATCGTATTATTTATCATATTTATTTTTAACAAAAAAAAAAGGAGGTTAATAATAATAATAACCTTGGACAATGCACATAGCACCATGTAGTCCTAAGATACTGCATAGCTTATGTTATGTGTACTAGACAACTGATAGAAATATTTAAATATATTAAAAAAAATACATACATGTGTATATTTTGTATGCATTACAATATACGTGTATATGTATTTTAAATAAATGTATAACAATCACCCAGACAAATATAAACCATCTTACATACAAATGTTTACATCTTGCGCTGAATCGAACCCGCGACCATAAGGAGTCAGGTGGTGTGCTATACTGAGAAACTACCAAGCTGGACTTATTAGATTTACGTATGTAAGAATTTTAGTGTCTTGATATATGTGTTACTTAAACCCTACATTCTTTAATACTGAACTAATGAGATCAAGCTTTTTATATAAGATTCAGGAAATATTTTCTATCTAATATAATTTATTTAAGTCTCTGATTTACTAAGTTTAATGTACTATGTCTACTAATCATAAAAAGCTAGTAAGGACACTATCCATTGCATTGTATAAGTAATTATCAAAACATGAATTAGTTTTTAGTTGGTAGTTTATATTATACTAGCTACTCGCTCTGTCTTATACATATAAACCTTCCTCTTGAATCACTCTATCTATAAAAAAATCCGCTTCAAAATCCATTGCGTAGTTTTAAAGATTTATGCATACATAGGGACGGATAGACAGCGACAGAGACTTTGTTTTATACTATGTAATGATGAGACAGCTAACATATATAATATATGAGACAGTTTCCGAGTGAGCGGTAGGTTAAAAAAATAAGTGATGACTATCAAAAAGTGCTTCAATATAAGTTTATTTTAATAAAGGCTTTTTTATTCTATTATATTCTCTTCTATCCATATTTATTCAGACTTGTACAAAATCTTATATATAAAATTCACCTGTCACAATTTTAGTTAACATACTCCTCCGAAACGGCTTGACCGATTTTCATGAAATTTTCAGACTCAGTAAGTCTGATTATCGGCTACTATATATTTTTATACCCTATATTATATATTGATGAGGGCTGTCCACCCGTAACTTTTTTTGTTATTTATTTATAATGTGGCTTTAAAAAATACATACAACCCCAAATTTTCATCCTTCTACCATCAACCCCTATTTTTTAATAGCTATTATAATTTATACGGCAAAGCAACGTTTGCCGGGACAGCTGGTATTATTATAAAATAAAGAGTTTAATTTTTTTTTTCAATTTGCAATGTTGTCTATTTTGAAGTCTGCTTATAAAAATGTGTGTTATATAACGGTTATATTTCTTTCCAGCTATTGCAACAGCTGCCATCGACATGCTGACAGGCGACACGTCGACCAGCCGGAAAGTCGACATAGTGTCGGACGCGGCTTACTTTATGCTATGCAAGTATGTATATGCACTATAATAATGACGGTCTCCGTGATCTAGCGGTTAAGCCACCGCTTTACTTGCTGTCCTCTTGATTTCGATTCCTGTAACATTACAAACATTTGTATTTATGAGTATAATTGTTTGTATCGGTCTGGGTGTTTTCTATGTATATTATGGATGTATTTACGAAAAAAAAATGTATTTGTATCAGTTATCTAGTACCCATAACATAAGTTTTAGCTGGCTTAACTTGGGTCTAGATGGCGCTGTGTGAATTGTCCTGAGATTATTGTGTGTATATCATATATCATAGTTTCATCATTCAATTCCGGTTCTACATATTTAATATAGATACAAATTGTAATGCCATTGGTTTATAAATAAAAAATACAATGTACGGAACCTGTTAACCTAATTCTAATTTTTAAAATAATTGCAGAGATCCGAAAAATTACACAGGCAACTTCGCGATCGATGATGACGTGGTCACCGAAGCCGGTGTGAAGAATTTGGACCCCTATGCATGTGACCCCAGTAAGTAACCCATACAAACTATTCATTGTTTTAATATCTATGATAAATGTTTGGAAAAATGTAACGGCAATTTCATGCCGATTTGATATACATACATTGTTAATTCGCTCAAAGTAAATATTTATCATAATTATCACAAAACTAGCAACATTTGTATTTAAACATGTGAAATTTTCCTATTTAAAAAATATTACAAAGTTGATAATTAAAAAAAATATTATAAGCATAGAGTAGTATTAAACAAATAATAAGTGGCACAACTTCATTTATTTAATATTGTAGATAAATGAAAATATTTTAAAAAGAGAATGATTTATTTAATGAATATAATGATTTATATTGTTAATTCTTTAAAACTGACGAGTTTTGTAGATGTTGCCAGATTTCAATATAACTATTTTTAAAACAACCTGCAATCTCCATAATATCCTACTGTATTATTTGAAATTACTGATATTAAGATGATTGATGATCTGTAGTTAGATTCATATTATTTTTCTAATTGCCTGAAGGTAGACAAAGGTGCCTGCACCATACAGCCTGCCCTTCTGTAAATTATCTTAGTTCCGTAGTCAGCATTTGACAGCACTTATTGTTGATCTCAGAAAACGTGAATAATCTATTATTGGACGGATTCCTTGATGACCCGGTCGCGAAGTCCCAACACCGCGCGACCGTGTTCACTGTTGCAAGGCGACGTTACCATACATCCTCGGTTAACCACAAAGAAGAGAAGGTTCGTGTGGCAATGTTGTCAGCACTGGTATTTACAAGCATGTAGAGTACACTAAAAGGACTGCTTTCCAGGGCCGTAAAATGGTTACGAAAATATTTTTTATTGGATATCTGTATTTGAGAACAGTCCCACCAATGTGATTGAAAATACTCTCTTATATTTATAGAGAACTAGATTTAGAAAAACACGATTAAGAACTTTAGGATAATTATTCTATTGAATAAATTAGATTTCATTCAATCTATAGTATGGCATAAGGCATTTATTTTGTTTTCATGGTTAGAAATTACATTTCAGAAACAATAAAAAAAAATTATACTGTGTATTTGTTTCTTTATTATTCTACATTGCACATATAAATTGATAGGTCTGTATTTATTCAAATAGCAGATCACAGTTAACCAATAAAGAATAATGTAACTAAAATTCACTAAATGCAAATTAATTATTGCTATGAGTAACTAGTTCTAAAGATTAATGTGTTCATGTAAGAGAATAGGAAACAATCCAGAAAAGCTGTTTTCTACAAATTTTTTTTCTAAAACAGGCCAATAGTGTAAACAAATCATCATGCGACAATTCTTCGTCATAATTGGTGTATAAATAGATCCCACTACATTTATATTGAGAACATACAGTGGAATAGAGAACATACTTCTTATTAAAAAATATAATATTATATTGTAGAACTTTAGAACATCTGCAAATGACAATAATTATTAATTTAATAAAAAGAAACACAGTAGAACAGTAGTTGGAATATATTTAATTTGGTGTGTCGAAACGTTTGGTTTGTAAATATTTAATCTATAAATTCTGCACTAATAATTTATAGGAATCAGTGGTCATAGCCATTTTATATATTTAATTATTTATTAAATTATCTAATTATGAAAAGATATTTGTAATGGCTACGTCTCTATTTAAATAAGTGTAATACTATTAGATTTTCAATTATTCACACCACAACTTGACTCATAACTAGTCTGAATTGATTAAAAAGTCTATGTTGAAACTTAATATTATTTCTGAAGTTCGGCAAATTGTTTGTCCACAGGTAATGTACCAAATCTATTGCTGGATTTCTTTTTGGAACACCCCGGGTCTCAAGCACAATTAAAACAAGCTGTGAAAAAGGTGTGGCCAAAATTATAAATTGTCTATGGCCAGGCCACTGATTCTTCATTCTGATTCTTATTCTTCATTCTGATTGCATGATTTTCCTCTATAATGAAAACAAAATTATACACAAAACTAATATTAGAATAAAACCACTGCACAATGAAATCTAAATAAAGATCACATATGAATTTCATAATAATTTATTTTGTGAGCACAAACATGCTTTAAAGGGCATTTTAGTAATTGAATTGCATTCACAAATAATATTGCATGTTGTTTTTGCATTATTTTATTTTAAATCTAAATCTATTATAAAAACAACATCTTTCTACATATAATCATAGTCTTAATATCCATAAAGATTATAACACTTATATTCTTTATGGATATATGGTCTTATGTTTATAGTCTATTATAATGTATAGAACTGTTATTTCTTTTCATTTCAATATAATTTGTTATAATAAGTTAAATATATTTATCCAGCCTGAAGCAAAAGCAACGTCAAGTGGCCAGATTCCACAACTGTTTGAGTCCATCAGTAAAAGTCTGTCAGCTGATCTGGTGAAGAAGACACAGGCTATCTATCAGTTCAATGTAAAGGGTAAGTACATTATCGCAGTCTTTGGCTTACTCGGTGCAGCAAGATTGGGCCTCGGTGGTCTAGCTGTTTTGGTACACCTTTACGTCCGATGGTCGCGGGTTCGATTCCTCGCACAGTACAAACAGTTGTATTTATAAGTATGATTGTTTATATCGATCTGGGTGTTTTTATACGTATATTATGTATGTATTTACAAAAATATTTATGTATTTATATCAATTGTCTAGTACCCATAACACAAGCTCATCTTGCCTTGGGACTGGATCGCGCTGTGTGAATTGTTCAAGGACATTATTATTGCTATTTTAGGCTAAAAAAGCATATATGTATTTATACGTCATTATCCATAACACAAGTCCAAGAACTTTATTATTATTCTACGGTAGCTAAAAATTGTGTACCAGTAGCTTATGTTTTTAAAAAAAAAAAAAACAGCACTAAGCACAACATATTTATTAATTATTGTTATTTTTTTTCATTATATTTTAGGCAAAGAAGAAGGTGTGTGGCATATTGACTTGAAGAATGGAGATGGATCGTGCGGACAGGGTGAACCCAAAAGTCCACCTGATGCAACCCTAACGATGGAAGGCGCGAACTTTGCGGATATGTTTGCTGGTAAGACAGTTATATGGTTTTGTTACACTGCACATTTAATGTAATATAATAATATTTATTTAAACTCTTTATTGCACCAGACAAAGGAAACATAAAATGATAGATTACATAAACTGATACAAAAGACAGTCTTATCGATAAGCAATATCTTCCAGACTACCAGTAGAGAAAGTAACATTAAAAAAAAAATAATTGAAAAGTCAAAAAGTTACACATTAAACTATAAAATTTATTAGTATTTGATCATCAATAGTGAAATGAGTAATTGTAAAATAGTAAGCTGAGCACGCTCGGTATGTTTGGCGACCGAAAGTGCATTGAATTTGTTAATGACTGTATTCAACGTTAAGAAAGTAATGCTGACGGCGCTCGACGGTAGTGTACGAAGACCGTACAACAGTAGATAAGTTTCTAGTATCGGAACGATTTGTTCGATCTGACCAGATTTTGAAAACTATATATTATACTTGTACAGAAATATGCTTTTTATTAAAATAAACAAAAGCGTCGGCACACGCTGTTGTTTATTTTAATAAATTTATAGACATTTATTTGTATTTTACTACAAAAAAACGATATTTCTCAATTCCAAGACCATTTTGTATGTTTTACTGACTTATTTAAAACAGTTTATTGCACTTGCAAGGGACTTGCATCCAGAGCCGTAAACTAACTTTTAATATTAATTCATGTCATTATATCGTTATAGGCAAATTAAAACCAACAACAGCATTCATGATGGGCAAGCTGAAGATAGCCGGCGACATCCAAAAAGCTATGAAACTTGAGAAGATGATGAAGTCATTGAAAAACAAAGTCTAACGTCTGTATATAGAGAATACCAAAATCAAACCCAAGTGCAATATAAAGATAACTAATAAAAATAATTAATTCCGTTATTAATAATTAAATAAACCACGAAAATGACAAACTCTAGTCGACCATAAATCAAATTAATAAAACCAGCAATGTGTAAAAAATAGAATTAAACAATATATGTTGCGCCCGGTGCATTATTTGCATATTTGAGGCTATGAACACATGCTGTTGCTAATGAGACGTCACTGACTTAGCATAAAAATTCTACATTTGAAATGACTGACATGCAATGTGTAAATACAAATAATTAAAAAGTATATTTAGATATTTGAATGTTTGTAAACAGCCAACAATTATAAAAAAAATATGACTCATAATTTAATAATTGACTACTCTAGTAATAAATGAAAAAAGAAAACTGTTGAAATTAGGAACAACGCAAGATAATTGGTTGTGACTAAAGTGGTGTATATTTCTAATATAAATTATTATATTAAGGAATTAAATATTTTATATATTTGAGTTTTTATTCTATAATATTTAAGTTGCATGCTGTTATTTTTAGTAATAGTGTTTTGGGTTTTATACCAATTTCGAATGTATATTTTAACTGTTTTTTACTTATAATAATAATAAAGAACTTAATGCAATTTTTCTTACTGGCAACTTCAGTATCTTTTTTTTTTATTTATACATACTTTTCTTGTTCATTTGTTTATTCATCTTGTTTTCTGTACCATCTTGGCGATGCTTTTGATGGAATTAGTAATTCAACATATTTTATATGTATTTTCAATTTATTCATAAAATGATAAGTAATTCCGACGATTAAAAGAGACCAGATTTTTACAAAAAGATTAAATAAATTTAATTAACTGTATGTCTTTCCAGTATCATTAAGAAATAAAAAAAACTGACAATAACAATTTTAAGTCATAATATAACCATTTTATTTAGAAATACATTATCAGAATCCATATTAGCCATTATAATTTTATCCTTTTTTTTTACAAACTATCTTACTAACTAGATAGTATGTGACAAAACACTAATATGGGTTTGTTGGTTTTATAAATTAGTATAGGATAAATTTGTAAATTGTTCATTAAATACACTTTCAAGTGCCTTAATACAATATTAGATAGACTTGTAATAAATAAAATATATTGTTACTACAAAATATAAATGTATGTCATCAGTGTGAAATGTATTGATTGTAAATAAAGATTGATTTTTATTTGTCAAATGTTCTTATTTCTGTGTTGTATAGATATTGCTGTAACTGTTTTCTACATTACACATGATATTACTCAATTATTATTATTGCATCATATAGTAATCGTATCTCGTATACGTATGTATGTACGTAAAATAATCAGGCATAAGTGTAAAGTAAATATAGCATACTATTATATCAATTGTATCAACAATTTAATAATCAGGGGCCTCTTTACCAAATAATTGAAACCTCAAATTGAGTATACGTTTTACAATGAATTTGTTATAATAGGCTAGCAGACCTGACTTTATGCTCATCCTATCATCCTCCACTGGTGCCCCGCCAGCGTATACTGTTAGTGCAGGCATTGCAGTGTTATTTCAGAATCAGCCGTAGAAGAGTCTGCGGCACATTTACATAGCCTTAAAAAATAAATTCAAAGAATAACAATTTAGAAGTAGTATGCAAGTATTGTACTATTAAGTATTTAATACTATTACGACCTCGGGGGCTAGCGATGTAGCACACCACTTTACTTCCTATAGCCACGGGTACGAGTCCTCGCATGATACAGACATTTGTATTCATAAGTATTATTGTCTTAATCGGTTTTCACATTTTCTATGTACCTATATTATGTATGTATTTACAACTAAAACATTTCTACGTATTTATATCCGTTGTCTTGTACAAGCTATATAGCTTGAAACTAGATGGCGCAGTGGCCATGTTTATAATTATTCTATAAAGATATTTTTACATAGTATAAAATGAAGTAACTTCCGCTGACTGTTTGCTTAGATCTTTTAAACTATGCAACAGATTATAATGCAGTTTTTGGCAATAGATTCTGATTCAAGAGAAATGTTTATATGTATAATACATGTTTACCCGTGCGAAACCGAGGCGAGTAGCTAGTTAATAATAAATACTTAATGACAAGTTATCAACGACGATACCTACTTAAACAAATATGGAACTTAACAATGGTACGTGTGTAAAGTAACCTAGAGTAACAACAACAGTCGACCTATTTTCGTAATACTGTTTTCTAAATTACGTCAGATTCGGCTTTGATAACCTTGTTATCTTGCCTGTAGTTCAATTTCAATGTTCGCGGGTATGGCAACGACACGACCTCGGTTTGTTTGTTATTAGCTGTGGTGTCTCACTCAGTCACTCAATCAGTTTCAGAGTTGCTGTCAATTATAACTTTTTCTGTCAAGATCAGCTGTTTGTACCAGAAATTAATTCGCGCAATTAATTAAAATTATCAATTTATACACTGATTAAGCCTTTTAATTAAATAAGAATATCAAAATGTTCTCTATTGACGCCCCAGTGGAGTTACAGAATTCGGAATATTGTAACTACCGGTCGCCGTTAAGTACTAGATATGCGTCTAAAGAAATGCAATACAATTTTAGTGATCAGAAGAAATTCTCGACTTGGAGGAAGCTTTGGGTCTACCTGGCTAAAGCTGAGAAGGTAAGTGATTTCTCTTAATCATTGCTAAGACATAAAGTCATGTATGAGAAGAATACGATAGAATCATTTAACATAACCTAGAATTTGCAGTAGATTTTTTTTTTTTACAAGCTAGGTTACTTTTTTCTGCAGTCTCCATAGATAAGTAATAATTTTCTATATATTTCTGCGTCAAACAGAACATTCCATAATGTCATGCATTTCGATTGGCACTTATTCCTACTTACTATAAAAATAAACATTCGACAGAAATCTTGCATTGCATATCTCTTTATTATAGGGAGATCTTTTTCTTTCACTTAATCATGAATTAAAGGGCGATTTAATACAGTACTTAAGAAGTAAATGTTTATGTTAAGTATTTAACAATAAAATTATCAAAATATAAATATATTTTTTTATATTGTTTTTTTTTCATAAATTCAAAAGAAGTCCTTGACTTCTAAGGTATTACTTTTAAAATTTCAAATTTCTGCTTCTGTTCTATATCATAATAGAAAGGGTTAAACTGTGTTCTAATTATAAATAATGTTTAGAAATATATTTATGAAATAAATGAGGTAAATTGTGTGGTGAATAAGTGTAAGGGTAAATAGTAGGATTAGTAGAGGAAAATAGTGGTAGTAAAACCCCTGTGTATGTGTATGTTTGTGTGCTAATAGTATGTGTATATGAATAGTTTGTGAAGTAGTTTTTCTTGACACAAATATTTTTGTTCATTTATATATTTTATTTTTTTAATTTTGAAATAATTACTTGTTTAGGAGTTGTACTTTCTTAGAAATCATTTAAATTGGTTTCCTATTAAAAGGTATTGTTTTGTTTCACAATCCTATTTCAACTTGCTAAGCAAGCATATAAAACTTTGTATAAATTTATCTCATTCATACCCCTCTTATGCATTGTGTTTCTTTTTCAGGGGATAGTAAATAATTTTAGTGTACTGAGGGACAATAAATAACTCATTTTTATTATTTCTGAGAAAACTATAATTTTACTGCTGTATCTTTCCTACCTACCTATTAAGAAACATATAATAATAATAATAATCACAGAACAATTCACACGACGCCATCTAGACCCAAGTCTTAACTTGTGTTAGCTTAATAACTGATACAAATACATAGATATATTTTTTTGTAAACTCATACTTATATACTATACATAGAAAATACCCAGACCGATACAAACAATCATACTCATGAATACAAATGTTTGTGGTGCGAGGAATCGAACCCGCGACCATCGGACATAAAGCGGTGTGCTAGACTGCTGACCACCGAGGTCGTCATGTATATTTCCCTATAGATAATATAGATAATATTTTTATTACCTATAGGGAAAGATATATATTTTCTAGGAGGTAGGCAATTCAATTACTGATTGGAGACTGAAATAAGTGTTACTAAAACATCTACATCGGTAACTCGTAATTAACACTGGATCATCCACTAGGATTATCTTACACAATAATAAAAAATACTCATTTATAATTATTTATTTCATTATTATTACGACGGGTACATTATAATAATAGTAAATGAGATTCGAAAGGCCAACCAAAAATATAATACTGGAGTAAAACTGTTTTTTGTTACATAAATATAAAAGAAAAAAAATATTTAATGGAAATTTTAAAAATAGAAACAAACAAGTAATTTTTTATATTCGAAAATCAAGTTACAGTAACTTTTTACATAAAGCGAGTAAAAAATGTGTCAAAACGTGTTATTCATACTAGGCATAGTTGATATTTATAATCATGCAAAAAGACGAAAGTTTTTATTTTAGTTTTAGTATTTCTACATCTATGCCTACAATACTCGTAATTAATTACAAAACAAAATCTACATCTTCTGAAATAAAATTCATCAGGAATCAATTATACATTAAAAAACAAAGGACAGTGTATTTTGTCGTAACATTTCCCAATTTTAATCATTAAACAAATGTTTAATTGTTACAAATCATTTACTACTCATAATAATTATTGTTATAAATATTTTTAATTGATTGGCGTTTCAAAAATCGAATGTGGATGTATTTTTTTTTATTGAAGTATGGGTGTAAGACGCGAGTACCTCACTGTGACCAAATAAGATATACAATATAAGGTAACATTAGCGCCAAATACCATAAACAAATATCTATTCATTGCTATATACATTTCTAAATACTACATTTATATATATATACCTTAACTACATTCACAACACAGTGCAATGTTTTAATCTTATATCTAATTCAATAATAAATATAATGTCGAATAAATTTAAATTACACTCTAATATAGATTAATATTTTTATTTATTCTTATTACATGTTGGTAGATATATATTTGGATTATAACTATGTAGTAAGTAGGTATTCTAATAGTTTTAATTATTGGAAACTTGACATCCCTAAACCTCAACTAGGCATAGGTTTTTTGCAATTAATAATATTATCCGAATAAAAGACATAAATCAAGCATAATGTAATAAAAAAATAACATACTTCAAAAAGTACAACCGAATTGACGTCCGCCTCCTTTTTCGAAGTCGGTTGAAAAACCAATTTAGAACTACTATTAAATGACAACTAAATAAATAATAATAAATTGTATCAAAATACTCACAAGAACTTAAAATTATGTTAGTAAATTATTTTACAGAAAGAATGGAATGTTAGATTAAGTAATGTTAAGTTAAGGATAAAATTAGGAAAGAAACACAAAGAGCAGCAAGAAAAATAACTTAACTACGTCTGGACGGATACTGATTACTGCTTTGGTTCTCCCCCTTTTAATATTATATAACTAAAATAATGCTTAACATAAATTACAATTCAACTTCCAAATATTTAAATTTCAATGAACAAATAAACCATATATGGGTGATAATTAGAAAAAAAATTACCATAGATTTCTATGCAATTTATAATATGATTTTTATGTATTCCTAAAAAATGTTAAATATTTTTTATTCTTATCTATTTTAATTTTCTATTTATCCAAGAACAAAATATTATCTTATGTAGGTTATGTTTATTATATGAAAAACGTCATTAATTTCTTATACACAATTGTTTTTATCGATAATTAATGAAATTATATTTAAATGAAAAGTATATTTCTCAACTAAAAACCTCGAAAGAATAGTCTTAAATAGAACAAAATAATATAAAAATCTAAAACAATATTTTTTATGTGATGGGAATGGCAAACATGCTATGGACATCCCGTGATCATATTTGGTACTGCAGTAGACACACAGCATTTGGTACCGTGTACATTAATACAAAGATTTGCCATTCCGGAGTACTAAGCTGTCATGCCTCCATATCCTGAAATTTACTTTTTGCAACCTAACATACAAAACTAATTCTAAAATCAATCAACCGGTGGTTATTTCGTTTAATTATTAACAAAAATGTTGATTACAAATAATATAGATATTTAGATGACTCGTCATCTCCTACAACTAATTCAATTTGGTCTCAGCGGAATGATTTCAGTAACATAATACAATAATAAACGAAACTTAAAACTAGCGTGGACGCGCAACTACTGAACTAATTATTCAAATTAAAACATATTTCCATTGCATATTATTACCCATGTTTACGAGTAATATATATTGTTATCAGGGAATATATTTTTATATCTAATAATGCCTATATTTCTACTAACTTCCAACTTGCACTTTCGGCCAGAAACTTACTTTAATATAGCTGCATTGTGGATATTATAATTAATTTACAAATATGTATTTCTCATTAGCTACTGCACAGGGCAAACTGACTTAAAATTAATGAATAAAACTTTAGAAAATACGGAAAGGCGTAGCTACACGATAGGACAAACACATTCAATTATTTACACAAAGCAATACTGTATTTAATAAACATTTAACTATATTTAGCAATGATCTTATTTAATTCACAATAATATAAGTTACGTATTACTAAAATAATATAAGTGGAGCGACCGAAGCCGAAACTAAATCAAATTATATAACTATAGTTAATCTATCAGAAGAATGTCGTAGTACGGGTACAACTTAACACGAATATTAATAATCTGCCTCCTTCCTAAAGGTGAAGAATGCGTGTACAAGAAATACGGCAGCGTTTATAACGGCGAACACCCCAGATGAGATTAGAAGATCGTAAACCTGCTTGTTGGGACGTAAGGTCGCGTAGTAAGATCTGTGCCAGTCTGTAATAAAAAAAAGGTTGTTCTAGTTAAAATTGTTGCAATAGAAATAAATGAAGAAAGTACATAATGTACGAAAATATACAATGTAGCCACTCGACTTACGAATCTTTACAAGTATGCAATTCAAAGAAATATCGCAGTTGGATGACTTACGAATAAATTTTGAAGTTGATTTACATACAAATTTACAAAGCAATTTATGGTAAGGTATTTACAAGAAGGTTAACAAACAACACAAGCCTCTGAAGCAGTAGAATGGTTCGCTGTGGTTCAATTTGTTGTAAAACAAAATTATAGGTAATTTTTTAAAAGTTATATGTCATCACTACATAGTATAAAACAAAGTCGCTGTCGCTGTCTGTCCGTCCCCATGTATGCTTAAATCTTTAAAACTACGCAACCGATTTTGAAGCGGTTTTTTTAATAGATAAAGTGATTCATGAGGAAGGTGTATATATAATACATGTACACCCGTGCGAAGCCGGGGCGAGTAGCTAGTAAAAAATAAATGGATTTATTGTAATTTTACTCTTTTTTTCGTTTTTAACTTCAGGGATGCAATCTACTAAAGCTGTCTTTGAATTTTGCAAGATTGCAATGATACCTTTGAAGTTTTTAGCCAAATTTCATTGTAAACAAAATTCTTGATGAACGATAAAAAGAATTAGGCACTATCTAAGTATATTTCAGTCTACAGTTTTAAATGAGCGTAACAAAAGTACTACAGTATACAGTTATAGTCACTAAATATTCTCTATGCGTATTAATTAGCAATGATTCATCGGATAGTCATTTCCAATGGCTGTCCGCTCAACTATTAAAAGCAAGGTATTGTTTTGTATAGAAACTTAATTAATAATAAAATCACATAGGATATTATAATATAAATAATTAATAAATATTGTAAACATCTAAATGAATGACAATGTTTCTGTTATCAATACATAAATACCAACCGTAGTTGTAGTTATAAAACTGATTCTGTTCTTGCATCACATCTGTTTGCATCCAAGTATAATTCCGAGAGAGGCATGGAAAGGTGCATAATACGAGAATAAGTGCATGTAATATATTACACTATCAATATATGTATATTAATCAATCACTCTATCACTTAATTAAATAAGAGTCTAAAATTGTATGAAGTAAGAAGTTAATAATTGTTTTGCCTAACGTCCTGTCCTGTTTTGCCTTTTGACTAACGTCACAAATGCTGCATGTAGTAGATATATTTCGATACCATTTGTCACTGTACTAAATTCAATTTAGTATGTGATATACATATCTCTATAATCTTTATATATAATGATTGTGTAATATATTTCTTAATTATGAACATTACAGTTTTTAATAGTCACAAAACAGGAGTCCAATTTATATTAAAGATATCTTTTTCTCAAAATTTAGAGTTTTATTCTAGTCGCCCAGAACATTAATTTTCTTGCTGTTAATTTTCTCCTTCAAGATATACTAGTCATAAAATAGAAATAATATCTTTGGACATACCGTAAAAAATGACAGCAGCGGCTGCGGTAAACATGATGACGCCCAACACCGAGAAACCAATAGATGTCTTCCATCCCGCAACCTCACCAAATAGCCTAGCGATGATTAGCACCCCGGTAATGATGATGAAACCTGTAAAAGTATTTTTTTTTAATCGTGACATAATTATTATGAAACCAATGATAATGATTACAAAAATGTCCAAATTATGGTAAATATATCACGCGAAACATACACGTCAAATACATACACATACATATTATTATGTATATTTGAACTGAGAACATAGTTTAATGTTTCATTAAAATAATCTGTCCAATTTTCTTGTAAAGCCCTGCCAAATGAAACTTTATATTCATATACAGACTTGCAAGTTTTTGGTTCTGAATATTTATTATAGCTTTATATTTATCAATCATGTTATATTCTTCGTACATTATATTGGACATGGGAATTGTTACTAATATGAGAGAGTACCTCTGTACAATTTTGGACCAAAGTTATACCTACCTTTTCAGTACAGAGGAGGATAACAATTAGTTTATGATTCACTGTTTACAAGGTGCCAACAGTTTCGCTTTCACACACAAGTTCAATGAAACCAATTTTCCAGTTATTGAAGAAGTGAAATTGATTCTAAAATTGTACACTGCTAAATCGTTCGTTTATACTTTTATCAATGTGACATTTTTTGCCGACATTCAACAGGTAATTACAGCAAAATAGAAAAAAGGAAACGTAAATATCATAAATATGTAAGAATTTTCGGTACTTTATATCTTTGAATGAAATTGTCGAACGGTACAATTTTGTAACAATGTAAGTATTTTGACGTGATGACGTGACGAATTGAGAAGCATCAAGCATAAAAATGTAAACAAAAAACTTGTAACCGGAGTAAAATGTACTGAATGTGATTCAACATCTGAAATCATGACATGGTAAATTAAAAGCTAATTAATGAAACAAACGTCGTAACTAAGTAGGTAACTACTTAGTTAAAAAGTACGTATACAATTAATGAAGTTCCATAATGAATGAAAAAAAAAACTATAATCTGATAGTTATAAAATATACTTATACCATTTAATTATAAAAAGTTACTGTAAACATTACATTAAAGAAAATTTAAAGAAAACGAATTAAAGAGCAATTAATGCCATGATCAGAATAGAGTTTTGGAAGCGTGATTAGGGGAACGTTGTCTAGAAGTGGACCACAAATTTGGCTATGAAAATAATATCAAAGCGTTTTTGTTACTAAAACCATATTTTTTTTAATATAACCTTTGGTGATTTGGATAAGATAAATTAAATTTATTTATTTCAATTCCATTAAATTAAAAACCTTAAAAATTTTAGATCTAATATCTGCGTTATTTATTTACAATCTCTATTATAAATACTGTTATTATACTACCTGACTGAATGTGAAATGTCTATAGGGAATGCAAATGATCATGCAGGTAAAATATGAAATGTAAAGTTTCCTCAGCGTATTTTAAAAGCATAATCGCGTTAATTGCGATATCTTAGAAAGTATAAATTGTAATAATATACGTTATATTAATGTGACTGTATCTAGTTACTATTAAGGTAAAATTTCAGTAGCATTTTGTATAGGTAGGTGATTAAAGACAAAGCATTTTACATTGGTCTAGTCTGCACTGGTCAATCGACCGTGGATCGCGTCAGAAGTCAGAATCGATCGTGTGACAATTGTCGGTAAATTGAAAGATTAGAACAAAATCCATTGTAGCAATTAGGTCATGGACTAGTGATCCGTACTCGATTACGTTAATGACGGATGTCAGCTTTATAATAGTAGCCACTGATTACACAAAATCTCCTCTCCTTCTATATAGTCTTTATAACATTTGACTAGTGAAATTTTGGGTTTATGCTATTTGTGTAGGGATTCAATCAACATATTTTTTTATTTCGTAACAGGAAAATATTTTATCTAAAAAGATCAGTTAATAAATGGATAAGACACTTGTGTATATCGTGGGATCAGAACATATCTTCCCGATTGTAAACACATACTTTTAGAAGCGGTTTTCAAGGCAGATCTGTGTAACTATCAAAATTGATTAAATTTGAGTTAAATATTTTTTTTAATTCTTGATAAACAGATCTTTGACTCAAAAATCTGTTGCGCAGTCTGTTTCTTTTAAATGTGTAGCCCAGTCATGCGGAGCCAACTGTATATAATTTTAAATTTAGGACTTGAAACTTACTCGAATAAGCAGAGTAGATGAGTGCAATGTGTTGGAAATCCGATTGTACCACTTTTGGATTGTGGAGTGCACCAATCATCAGACCCGTCGCAATGATAGCGATTATCTGGAAAATAATTCATTAATAAATTAGAAAATTATTCAATAACTTTGTAGCAAAGGAAAGACCATCCCTATTATTTGTTAATATACTAAAATTAAAAACAATTTTCACTATTTATGAAATTTTGTTGAAGTAAGTATTATCACTGGGTTGAGATGGACAAGTCCATCTGGGCTTATATACTGTACTTTCAAAATGCTGGGCAAAATAATAAGAATCGTTAAATTAATTTAACTATTCTAAAATTGAATATGAATATATTAGTTTTTAAATTCCATTTTTTACTTGTAACTTGTTCTTCTTGTTTATCTACTTAAATAATTATCAAAAGTACAAAATGGAGACAGTCATTAGAACACTGTCGTGATTAGTTTCACATTATGTTTATTTTTAAATTTTATCTTCCTTTCTCTAACTTTCAACAGTTTTTAGATAATTTTAATATCATAGTAACAATGACCACGTACATGTACCAAATAAAAAAAACGTCTATGTTCAGCAATAACTTTAGTGAAAGTCTATTGACGCCATTTTGTTGTCGCCATTTCACTAGTCTAATATTCCTTGCCACCGCAAATGTGATTTTCCAACTTCAAAGACTCTTTCCATAGTCATTATAGGTTTTCACTTTCACATGGGTGCTGAGATGAAAATAAGTTGTTTATTGCGGTTAGCTTTTATTTTTATGTTTATCTTGTTGTACGTGTGTCGGAAGCTTCATCTTAAATTACTTTTTAATTACCCCGAGTTAGCATATAAAGGGCTGTAAAGTTTATTTATCCTGTTTAGGTTAATATGTTATGTTTAGTATCTTTTGATCAATGTTGTTTGTTACTTGATCATCATGTACCTATAGTTAAACGAATGTTAAAAGTATAGTATTCAGAGATTTGTTTTTTTTTATAGTTTGCTATAGATAGATACCCAAAAATATTTATGTGATTTTAAATGTTCTTTCACATATAGAAGAATATATAAGGCATTTTGTATTGAAAAAAATGTTTGATCTTACAACAATTGAAGCCGTCTGAAACTGTGGCAGGTCTCTAATTTTCTATTCTTTCAAGAATCTTATTTATTTTCGTAGCAGTTTTTGATGTGCATTAGTCAATGTATATACATTTGTTTCGTATTAGTAATCAATACTATTAAATACTTCATATTCCTCATCATTTAAAGTTATTATAATCATAGTACGGCCTTTGTAGGACAAACTGCATAATTATACTTTATTAGTCATGCCGGCTAACGTATTCAGGGCTAGTTCCCATATGCACCAGTCAGCTGCAGTTTATTCAGAATGAATACTCAAATATTGATTAGTAGTAGGCATATTTATAGCTAAGTAATTATAAGTCAAAGACGTTCACGAATATACAAATAATTTTAGAGTGAATGTTTAATATACTGCTTACGATCTTATGAGCGCGGGTTTGATATTGCACAAATGTATTTGTGTATTGTATATCAGTTGTCTAGTACCCGGAGTAAAAGCTCCGCATAATTAGGTATTATTTATATTGTTAACCAAGGCTTAACATGAATAATGATATGGTAGTTAAAGGTATTTTCCTCTCGATGCTTCGACTAATTTGCACTAGCAGTGGTCACGAACTGTCCAGAGAGGTATTGAGTGAATATACGAGTTTAAAACAGTTTATCTGTAAGCGATTACTCACCAGCTCGAGAATCCGAAGCCCCACACACCAGTGCTGTTTCAGAGCAGCGGCAGCCCGGCTGTCCCGGTCTGTCACGGTGCCCTCTTCGCCCTTCTTGGCCTGAGCCTCCGCTTCTCTGTCGCCCGCCGACATGGCCCACACTACTCGTGCTCCGCCCCCGTACTCAGAAACCTGATGGAAACATACATACTATGAAGGATATGGAAAAGAGTAATTGATTTGTCAAAAATCGTGACAACAGTAAATTATGACAGGACTTTTAAAACGTTAGTCTTTCAAAGGATTAGTATTCTAAATGATAACTATTCAAAAGAACCACTACAATATTAAATTTTATGAACAAATATAAAAAATATGTTAATGCCCTATAATTTATCTGTGGGCGAAACTGATATGAATTGCAATTTAGCCAGAATATGAACGCAGCCAAAACTTTGTTTACACCTATGAGATCTATGTATCTATCTATTGCCGACTTACTACTTCACTTACTTTACACTTTTACAATTCAAAATAGTTTCAGCAGTGGACATTGAAACGTTAATTATAGCTCTAATGTTCTTTTAAAGTATATCAAACCATAGTTTATGCCTGGAGGTCCTTGAAATGAGTCAGAAGATTGTAATCCACGTGCCTTCGTAGAAACATCTATCCTACAATAACCATTCATTATCATGGTACCATTATGACTCATTACTATGGTAGATGAAGTGAGCAAATCATCAAATCATTGTACTGATCCAATTTGCATATTAGCTGATAATTAAGAGCGTCATGTTTACTTATCTGCACTTGTAGATTTCTAATAACATGAAACAAATCTGTCTGGCAATATATGAGAGTGCGTTTTAAGTTTGCGAAGATAAAAACGCTGCCTCGTAAATCTTTGGTGAAGATAAAAAACACCAATAACAAACGAATTCAATCCGAGAAATAGTTAGACTCATACTCGTTGCTTTCAGATATTCTGAGAGAAGTGTGGCCTTGCCAAATTTTGCATTCACTGCAATTAAAACATGATTGTCAAGTTGAGTTTAATCGGGACAATTTAAGGAACGAACCTAGGCACTTAGACGCCTAAGAATATATTAATATTATACTAAATATATAACAACTAGATCTAAACTAACAACAAGCCAGTATTACTGTAGTCACTTTAATTATAAAGCTACTAAAGGGGTATCATACAACGAGTCACACAGGTTAGACAATGCAAAAGCGTGAATAGGATTGCTTATCGAAGCATCAATTTTCATTAGAACATGTAACATAGTCTGTAGTTTAACGATGCTAATTGGAACAAAAAAAAAATAAGAACAATTTCCATGATTTCAAGTTTCAATGATGATATTTTTGAGAACCATTGACAAACAATACGTTTGTCATTTTTAACCAGTGCCAAAGACCAGGCTTCCTTTAACGCTTTCAGGAATTACGTGGGTTTATAAACAACGTTAACGGTATCTTGTTAACAATGTTGTTAATTTGTTTAGAATACTTTAAGTCTATCTAACCGTGTAATATCAAATACAGTTAACTCGATACTTAAGTATATGTTGCCTTCACTTGTAAACAAGTTATGGCTACCGCCGATAGTTGGTGTAATTTTTTTGTAGGTGGCTTTTTTCGTGCATCACTTTAATTACAATATAGGACGGTATTTTTTTTTATTAGATTTTACATATTATTCAAATTCTTTTCAGTTTTATTATATCTATATTCTATTTTATTACTTTATTCCTAAAATGGCGAAAGTTTATTCTAATTTGATTGGAGATATAGCTACTGTTTATTTTAAAAACAATTTTTTTAGTTATATATTTGGTCGTTTTATGTATATAAATTATACTGAAAGTTATATACATTGTGTTTATTAGAATAGTAATATATTTTTTCACAAAATTACTTCATTTTAACAGATTAGTATGTATACAAAATGGGAGTAAACTCATCATTGATTAATAAGGCAATCGTGAAAGTCTGTGTAGGATTAACGGAAGTATCGCAAAATCGCCCTTTTTTGATGACGGTTGAAAGGACAATAATATTTCTCAAAGTACATACATATATAGGTATATTAGAAAAGCATATATCACAGGCCAATTGTATACATAAATCATAAGCCAACTGAATGCCAATCAGTGGAACGGAACGCAGTCGGCACGCACCCGGCCGCGCCGCACCGCGCCGGCCACTTTCCAATAAATCTTTCCAATAGATTTTTTCGCAGAATGGTGAAACTAAATGATTTGTGTGACATTTTTTTACATTTTACTAATTGAATTGCGTCCACATTTTGTATTGTTTATTCGCTTACAAAGTAGAAGTTGAGCATATATGTAGATTTGTTTTGACCAATTGTATTTTTTGTCCAATTGTATTTCAATACAATTGGATCCTTATTATCGAATTTTTTTTTTAATCCAAGTACGTTTTTTTTTCAACTAATTCCTAAACGTACATATATCTTTAGGTAGGAAAAGAAATATTAATACAAAAAACTTGACTTGGTTATTGCATAAAATGTCCTATAAATGGATGATTTCGAAATTTGAAAAAGTATAAGCTGTATCTATTTTATTTTTATATATCTGTATGATATCAAATGTTTTATGTTATCTATTCTTCTAATATATAAAACTGAAGAGTTTAGGTGTTTGTTTAAACACAGTTTACTCTACTACTACTAAACGGATTAAAAAAAACTTTTTGCTCTTAATAGCCTAATTCAAGAGGAAGAAGAGATTATAAAGTAATGGACGTTCTCCGAGCAATAGGATAAAAATCAAAATGAAAGTTGAGCGAAAAGGTGATAGCGCGCGCGGGGTGATGCGATGTAAATTTGAATTTGACTGATTTTAACAATAAACAATGAACTTTTTATTATTTCAAATACATGGTAAGGATGGGTAAAGATTTTTTATTTAATAAATGTATTTTTGTGCATAATTTGACAAATAATAGCATTCTGTACTCCTTCTCTATATAAAGTATAAGTGTGTATATTCATACTCCTCCGTCCACGTAACTTCGCAAAAAGGCGTACAAAGTTTTTGCTTTACGTATTAATATGTAGATAGTCGTATTAGTTTCTATTATGTTATACGTAACTGGGTAACTGCAATTAATACACCTGTTATTACAATAGTCGGTAACTTGGAAAACTAGGATTTAGAACCAGTCTAAAAGTAATGTAACTACTTTTTCACGGATATTACAGCGGTGTTCATTGTAATTAATTCTACAATAATTCATTAGGCTAGTTAGTTACTAGTTTAGTTATAATAAATAATAGAGTTGATTTTGAAATCAGCTTTTTTTTAAATAAATATTTAGTATATGATACGAGTTAACTGTTCTATTATACTTTATATTAAGTTCGTAATATTTTGTCTTTAGGCTGCCTAATTTAATATAATAATAGGATCTAGGACATATTCACATAGCGCCATCTAGTCCCAAGCTAAGCGAAGCTTTTGTATTCGGAACTGACAGCCTATAAATGTACTAAGATACATTTTATTTTGTAAATACATACCTAAATAATATAGATAGAAAACACACATACCGATACAAACAATAGTATTAATGATTACATGCATACAAATGTTAACACAGATCGAGGAATCGAACCAGCAACCATCAGATGTAAGGCCATGTGCCAAAACCAATAAACCATTGAAACACTCATATTATTGTTAAAAAACCATAAGTATATTATAGAATAGGTACTATTAAATACTAGTGTTCACCCGCGGTATCGTCCACATGACCAGGAAATATCGATTGACCCGGATAAAAAGTAACCTTTGTTTTCCATGCCAAATATTTTGTGGGTGCCAAACATAGCAGTTGATTTGTTACGACGTAACACGAAGTAAATAACTTGCGACGTTTATAATCCTAATATTAATACGTGAAGAAAAAACTTTGTATTAATATTTTAAGAAAATGAATACAAAGTTTTTTCTTAAGAAAATTGCGCGGACGAAGGAGTATAAAATCTCGCACACTTATACTTTATATAGAGGAGTGCGGAATGCTTTTCTTTTTAAATTATGAATAAAACATACATTAATTCAATAAAAAAATAACATTACACAATAATAACCATGTATTTGAAAAACACACGCATAGTCTTTGACAATTGAAACTTAATAATGTTCAAACTTATAATTTAAATTATTTATGGTCGAATTTCGTCCACTAGTATTAGTAACTATCTATATACTGCGTCTCTGCTTGCTAGAATTTGGCTTAAAATATTATATTTTTTAATCTAGAATATGATCTATCTGTGTACTCTATTTCATTTAAATTGAACCAATCGTTTTAACGCGAAAGAATAACAAACATCCATCATCATATACTGTCTTGTTTGTAATATCATCATATATATATTTTGGTGAATTTATACTAATAAACCATGCAATATCGACAGATCTATGTACAACACCTTTATTTTAATGATATTTATTAACACGGATATATTTTAAAAAATCTGCTTTTGGTTTCAATTATAATTAGATATCAGAACATTCCTACTATAATTCCACTTATCTTTGAGACCACAACTTGTGGGATGTTATTTACATATTAAATTATTCTGCCTACGCAAATGTACAGCATTGTCTTTCCTCACTTAGTTCCATAATTTTCTTTACAGTTATAAAAATTGTTAAATAATTACTACGTGGGATCATGCTACCCATTCATATTTAACCGACTGTCTAAAGGAAGCTCTAAATTCCACAGTAGGTACTTTTATAATAACAATATCTCCGAAAAATCCACATAGAGCCAAGCAGAGCAGCAGACAAACAGAGCTTGTATTATGGGTACTAGTGTACATTCTATTACAATTACGTTAAAAAAAATGTGTGTGCGTGAGTAGTATCTATTATAATAGTCCGCCAAGCTTCTTCACAGAGGCGTAGAAGCTTCTTGATAACAATTATGATAATAATGATACCCCTGGACAATTCACAACTCCATCTAGTCCCAAGGTACGCAGAGCTAGTCTTCTGGGTGCTAGATAACTGATACAAATACTAGAATATATATTTTTTGTAAATACATATATAATATACGTAGAAAATACCTTTTTTTTTATTTTTATCCTCAATTATTTAAGTCCTCAGAGTCGAAAATATATATGTGATATGTATTTT